CCCTTTACCAGCTGAGTTAATAGCCTCAGCAAACAAGCCAGACCTACCTTATTTAAATGTAAACCATCCATTCCTAAAAGCTCCCTTCTTCCACTGAACTGATCCCACAAGTCCAACCAGTCAATTTGCTCATCTTCACATACTAACCTAAGCCTAGCATTTAGCTCTAGTGACCTACTTATAACTTCATCCCCACAGTTAATTCCGAGCAGTATCCCTGACAAAATTAAGTTGTGGCCTCTTTCTTTAAATGCCTTTATCAACCCCTTGTACTTATTAATTAGCTCCTTTGATCTACCTTTTCCTACATCATTAGCCCCTACATGCACCACAAAAACTGCATCTCCACTAGCCCCCTTTATTATGTCTCCTGCCCTGTCAGTTATATCCTGTGCCCCTGGGTTGCATAATTTGATTCTTTTTTCTTTAACTATAACCTCCTTATCATCCACATCCTTCTCTGACCCTTTTGTTTTCCTTCCCTCCAATTGTTCCACAGAAACACTGGACTAGAGGAGAAGTAGATGCATTGTGTCATAAATATCTTGCACCTGAAAAAAAGTTGATTCTTTTTGTTTTGTCCTGTAGATATGGAACACAAGAAAACTCCTGTTAGCATTTTGCAAGAGTTTTGCTTGTATCGTGGACTGACAGCAGACTACACGTTGATTTCTGTTGAAGGACAAGTACACGAACCAACGTTCACATTCAGAGTGGAAGTAGACCATGAGTTTGCCATAGGCGTTGGTCAGAGCAAGAAAAAAGCTAAACATGCTGCTGCCAAAGCTCTTCTTGACAAGTTACAAGCTAGTGATAAGTTGATTGATTCAAGCTTAAAATTACTGGAAAACTTGTCTTTAGCAAGTGATTTGAAAGAGTAAGTAAAAATAAACTCACAATATGTTTTATTGTTTTGTTATAGTAAAGTCATGCTTTAATGGTAGAATGTATCATTTCACAAATTCTCTTATTACATCTTCAAAGTATAAAAATAAGTGATGATTTTTTCTGTGTAAGATTTTTAGATATCAGTTCACTATATTGTATACTCAAATAAATTGTTTTTATAAATCACAACATTATTGTTCCTGTTATAAAATAAATGGAAGAGTCAATTGTTTATTATTTTTTGTAAAAAAGAACAGAAAATGGATGTCTAGTTAATTCTGTGTTGAAACGTTTTTATGAATATAATTAGATTTGTATCTAACCGTGATGTGTATGCCTGAAATAAGCTAATAATGGTTGAAATGAAACATTTAGCTTTTAATACTTGTGAAAAATAATGTACAGGTTGGTCCATAAGCTCATGCATCGTAATAGTAGTGTATGCTTTTCTTTTACTTTGCACCAGTGGTTCATAAGGTACAACTTTTGGCATTTCAGTACTTTTACGGATACGTCAAATGCCATATCAATAACAGAGGCCTGCGATGGTTTTATTATCTTGAAATTTTTACATGTTCTACAGTAATTCCTGTACGTTGAATCCGAAAATGATATCCATTTTCCTCCATCACATGCAGATTTTTCACTAAACGTGTACTTTTCCACGAGCGAATCATTTTCATTGAAATTGTCTTATCGATAGTTCTAGAACCCAAACATAATAAAAAATGTTCCTTGTGGTAAATGAAATAATAAGAGTTTGCTTTTTCTTTCCGATTTGTAAAAAATCTTTATGCGATAGAAAAAAATAAATATTATTTTTGAAATCTGCGTAGCTGAATTATAGAAAATCTCTTATAAAAACCAAAACAACTTTTATGAAGTTTAAATTTGCAGGCCTGTGTAATCACTCCAGTGTTAAAGGCTCAATATTGAGTAATGGTAATTCAAATTTTATTAATTTTCTTTTCATTGCTTGATAATCCTATTACCCTTGTAAAATGGAACAATGGCAGAAACATAGTGTACCTTTCCCTCTGAATCATTAACATAACATAGGAACTATCACCTAGTGACAAACAAGAGTTATAAAAGTGGATATTTCACAGGTTTAATTGTAACATTTCTAATTCACAATAAAGTACATCTGAAAAACACTGAAGCAAAAAGTAAGAATTATTTTTACAAAGAAGCCTATATCTGGTTTTTGGCTTGAATTCTTCCTGGTGAATTTCATTATTTTGATAGCTTGGCCTCATTGATAAGCCTTGATGGAGATCTAGTTAATTTAGGGTTGTTTCATTGTATCCATTCCCTATAGAGCATAGTTAATTGATAAACATCAGGCTGAACCCAAACTAATACTTGGATGTTGCAATTATTTGTTTTTAGGAAACGTTGTTGAAGTAAATAGCCTAATGTAGGCCTACCTACATTTTATACTTGATACTCTGGGTCCTATAAGTAGCAAGGCCTACCTACATTTTATACTTGATACTCTGGGTCCTATAAGTAGCAAG